GTCGGGCCGTCTCCACCGAATCGGCAAAGTACCCCCCCGTTGAACCTGTCTCTTATACACATCTAGATGTGTATAAGAGACAGTTGTTTCCCCACTCAGTGAGCTCAAATAGGAGAGAGAGAGAGAGAGAGAGAGAGAGAGAGACGCCCAAAACAACAGACGGAAAAAAAAAGAAAAAAAAGGTGACCCCTAACCTCAGTAATTGGTGGAGGAAGAAGAAGAAGAAGAAGAAGAAGAAGAAGAAGAAGAAGGAAGAAGAAGAAGAAGCTGGCACCAATGTCATCCCCCTCCTCTCGGCACCACTTTGTTATTAATACAGTACAGCAATGATGAATAAATGACACAAGTGGATGAATACAAATGTGGGAATGATCCCTCTTACTGCCAGTGCAGCAAGACTCTCCACTTGGTATGGCTACTAGCTATGCTGTCACGGATTTCCGTAGGACCATGCAACTTCTAGCATGTCTCTCCCCTCATTTCCCACCATAGCCAACCTCCGAAGGAAGTCCATGTTGAACCTGTACCTCACCAGGGACCTTCTTCATGCAACACAAACTATGAAAGTCTGAGGATGAAGGTCCACCATAGCCAAAGGTAAGTCTCCTTGTCGGTTTCTACCTCCTTCCTCCTTGTGAACCTCTACACAGTCTCACCTCCATAGCCCGGCTGGATGGTCTTCTCCCTCTGCGACGGACCCGCCGGGATGGCGGTCCATCAAGGTTAAGACGAAGGGATGAGGATGGGGGGGGCGGAGATGGAGCTGGAAGGGACAGCGCATCTCCAACGCAGACTCAACACGCACATACTCCAAACTGCGCAAAATGAAGAACGAAACTCCAGCTGGGGTATACCCCCAGCGGACTGACTGGCCTGGCCTGGCCTGGTACCGACAGTGGTACCGGGCAGGACTGGACTGGACTGAACGAACACACGGCCTGTGGGGTCAGGCCACGGCCTGGTCCCACAGGCTGAACAGGCAAAATAGCCTGATAGGCCCTGGCTGTAGGCCAGGGAAGATAGAGGCCTGCTGCACCCTCCACCCTCATAGCCTAGGCCTTCTCATACCTCCCACTACTACTCCATAGCCATAGAGGCCTTCTTCTTCACCCTCAGCTCCTCCTTCACCGTCAAGTGCTCGCCGCACTCTCCCTCTGGGTGGAGCAGCAGCATGACCGCCGGGTGAATGACCAGACTACTCATTGCACCGAATAATCGCATGGCAAGTATCTCTTGGCCGGGCACTTCCTGCCTCTACCAGCCTCCGTTGGATCCACTAGGCCTACAGGATGTTCCCTGCTTTGGCAGGAACATCATTGTGGATCTATATCTGCCAGCAGGGCCCAAGTCTACCTCTACAAGCTATCTACATTTGGCCTTGCAATCATAACCCGCCATACAGATAGTGGACCCTTCTAGCTCTATCTGACTTACTTGACTATCCCTGCTGGGTCTCCAACAAATTGCACTTATGACCCTGGCCATCCCTCAAACCTCAGTACCTCCCTACGGCTATCCCGGGTGCTTCCTACCCCTATTTCTATCCGATCTAGCCCTATTCGACTTACTTGACTACCCCTACTGGGTCCCCAACAAATTCTACTTATGTCCCTGGCCATCCCTCTAACCTCAGTACCTCCCTATGGCTAACTTTGCTTCCTATCCCTAGTACTTCCTACCCTATTTCTACATCATCCCTAACTTTCCACCTAGGCTATCTGATACATGCCCAGTTGGGCAATGCACATGGAGCCAAGGATCCGCAGAGTGATGAAAAGGGCTAGAATGGACAATGCAATGTCAGCCAAGCATCAACAAATAGCACAAAGTTGCGCAATGGAAGACTCAAAGATATGACCTGACCTGCCTGGTACTGACGCGACATCCCATCATACAACACACATGTGAGAAAGGGAGGAGGGACCGCATACACAGAAGAAAGGTCCCTCCTTGCACACACACATGGGGAAGATACCCCGGATGAGAGATGGGGGAAGAGGCGAGACGAAGATGGAGGCGAGGGAGAAGACCAAGATCGCGATAGCAAAGCCCAAAAAACAGTCCTTGCCGAGTGTCCAATCAATGTCTGCCACAGAAATGTCGGATCAGATCCTGGGCCAAATGCCCGATGTAACCTCTGCCTGTAATCTCTCTCTGAAGAAGAAGAAGAAGAAGAAGAAGAAGAAGAAGAAGAAGAAGGTAGGAGGGAGGAGAGATGGAGACGAAGACGAAGAAGAAGATGTCATCCTCCTCTCGGTCTCACCTGCAGGGAACCGCCGCTGGACTGACCGTCGTTGTCGTCATCATGTGCAGGTTGCCGCGAGGAGCCCCAGCTATGGCGCCAGGTAAGTCTGCCGCTGCAGGTATGACCTCCGCCCCTCTGCCTACCTACACCTCTACGTCTATCTGTGCGTAGCGCTGTAGTCCCAGCGCTGCTCCAGCAGCGTGTCGCCCAAGAAGTGAGCTACTCAAACTGTGTGTCTGCCCTGGCCGTGGCCCAGCTATATACAGCGCTGGGCCGGCCGATTTGTCTCCGTGTGCCTCTGGCCATGCCCAAAAACGTGGGCCTCTCAGGTCTGGGTCCCGACCGGACATCCAGACCCTGCACATGGCCAAGAAGACCCTGCCTCCTGGTGTCCCCGGCCCAAGGCACGGCCTTGGGGACTGCAAGTCCGAAACAATGTCTGAACAGACAAAAATAGGACAGCTAACAAATAAATAAATAAATAAACAAATGCTGTCACAAAAATCCATACCTGCGGCCTACGGGCCGCCGTGGGCCTCCAGTGCGCTCGTCTGAAGGGCACGCGGCCTGGGGCCCCCTCAGCAACTGTCGGCCCCCTGAAATGGGTCCCGTGTGCAGGCGCATCATGTAACACTATCCCTGGAGCTTCCTACCCCTATTTCTATCCCATCCCTGTCCATGACACACACACACACATCACGGGCAACAGGGTTAGCACACGCACTTGGGCTTGCACCCAGAACTTCAGCAGGCAAGCACACAACACACAGCATACATACATGCTAGGTCACACACATACTTAGAAAACACAACACAGCAAAGAGACTCGGACTCGGAGTTCTCGGCAATCACGTCGAAAAGACATCATTTTCGCAGAAAAGTATACGCAAATGTGCAGGTCTTTGCAGTAGTCTATATTTTGTCGCTCGGATTCATTGAGAGACAGCCTTCTGTGTTGATGTATACACACATGCGAATGGGATTAGAGCTCGGAAATTGTCCCACTGTTTTCGTCGGTTGCAAAATCCTTTGGTACCGTTCCGGGAGAGAAGTATTGTTCTCCAAGCTCCTTGGACGAACAGAAGCGGACTAGGTCAGCATAAGATCTCAGCAATGGCTTGAAGACCTTCCAAATAGGGATGAAGATAGGCGGTGCATCCACAAACAAAACTTCTCCTAATCTTCTAGGATAGTAGTAGAAAAAGACATCAATAATAAACTGTATGAACGAGAGGTCGGCATTCCTACTTCTGAACCCCCGAAGGTCAAAGATACCCAGAATGTTCTCTTGTCCACTTGGCAGCATGGTGATTGCTTTCTCGATTAGGAAAACACAAAGCCTCTGACTATCTTCGATGTCTTCCGGATTAGGAAGGTGTCGGGCTACGCGGACGACAAGTACAGGTCGGCCGACAAGGTCAAGCTGGTCGTGGAGGTAGGCCTTTCCGGTCGCAGCTATCCGTGCGACAGACTCTTGTGTGACATTTGTCACTCCAAATTCTTGACGCCATCTGAGCATTCTGACAAGTTTGAAAGCCGCTTCACTGACGTCATATCTACGGTCCCGGAGAAACCAGGTCAGCAATTCATCATCATCTCGTCCATACGTCCCGACCGGTAGTTCGGGATTCTCAACGTCTAGTTTACGCTTGAGCTTATCCAGGGCTTCGGCATGCCCTGCGGGACCACCAAACGGCAGGCTGTCGGAGGACGGAGTGGCAGTCTGTGAATTCTCTCGAGCTTGAGCTGTCACACCTTTCGACAGTCCACGCCCGCAGGAAAACAACCAAAACATGGTGTTGCTATATCCGACTCTACTTTCTTCCAATCGTTGGGTCCGCCACGAGGAGAGCCTTCCCCTAGCCAGGAAATCTTGCAAGGTACATGCAGGGGCATACAAATCAACACCTGCCCCATCCATAAAATTGCCAAGGCCACCAAAGCTGGAGCCAGGTCTACAGCTAAGGAGCCTTGGTGTCTTTTTCCTCCTCCCTCTCTGGAGAAGATCCGATAACCTCATCCGTGTGGGGACCACAGAGAACTTAAGGCATGTGGGGGCCTCACACAACTTAAGGCTGCCATAGTTGGCTAGCTTACTAGGAGTGGGGCAGCCGCAGATGCTAGGCATGGCCGCCGCCGTAAACTACGAAGATCAAGACAAGAGACGAACGGGGGACCCAAACGCCTCCCTCCCACCTCCTGGACCAAGCAGACAAAGGTCCCAAGGTTTTCAAGTCCCAGTAGTGAAGCAATGCTCCAGCTGCACCGGGTTTTCCCTAGATAGGAGGGGGTATTGCTGAACCCTTAGCAAGGGTTACACCCCCCAACTCTCCCCCCTCCACCCTCCTCCCCCCACCCTGGAGCCACCCTCACCCCCTCTGCTAACCTCTCAAAGGTGTTGACGTTTTTGTGAGCACAGTAGGAACCCTCTACGTAAAGGAGCATCCCCCTCCCCCCCCTTCCTCCCACCCTCCCCTCCCCTGGAGCCCCTTTGAGTCCACCTTTGAGTCAAGCACTTAGAGGTCTCGAAGGGGCCTAGCTCAGTTGCTCCACCCATCAACTGATGAAAGACCGACCTCCGTTCGAATCCCGATGCAATTAGATGAACTGACTCAAATAAAAGGTCTCCACGTTTGCAAATCACGTAGACAGGGCAGCGAGACAGTCGCAGTTGACACACATCCTCCCAATCCCGATTGGGAGGGTTTCCCCCTGGTAGGCAGCTGTTGAAAGCACGAAGCGGCAGCCTGGGTCACCACCATACCTGCGAGCAAACGAACAACATGCATGCATGCACACACGCACGTAAAGAAAACAGGTGGAGGGGCACTTCGGTATGATCTTGAATGGGGAAAAAAAAAAAAAAAAAAAAAAAGATCTTGAATGGGACGCTGGGCCCGGTTCCTTCAGCACGTGCTGCTCCCCAGGAATAGATTGGAGCATGTCCCTTTTTAAAAAAAAAAAATAAAAAAAAATTGGGACCGCAACTTTTGGGGCTCGGTGTCCGGAAAAAGAGGATGTTCGAGTTAGGGCAAGATCCCACTGGCCACTGGCAAAGAAGATTCAATTTGGAATAAATGTCTGAATCTGGACGTGTTTGTGGAGATGTGCAAAAGATTGTGATTGATCTGCTTTTCCCCATCTCTGTGTGGAACACGTCCAGATTCAAACACTTATTCCAATCCTCTTTGCCAGTGGGATCTAGCCCTTATTCTCAGGCTGCTCCTCACCAATAGATAGGAGCCGTCCGGCTAGGTCCCACTTACACTTACACGAATTATTAAGCGATATTGACCGTAGATTGCAAAGATCAACGGCCAGAATCTCTTGATCCGTGCAAGTGGGACCTTGCCCCCAGAAGGTCTGCAACATGGGGCTGGTCGCACCAACCCGAGGCTGCAGTACCAGCGGGACGGTTAAAAAAAAAAGGGGGTAAAGCTCCCAGTAATATCTTCGGGGGCGAGATAAGCCTTGGGTATATCCCTGCGAGATGTGTTTTCCGAAGGACAAAGTAGTAGTCCGATCCGTTAGGGCCGTCCATTCCACGCAGATCTGACGGCACTGCTTTTTTCATCAATTGTTTGGTTGGTATCCCGTTTTTCATGTTTTGGAATGAAAATGGATCCCCCTCTCATTGGCCATGCATAAAAAAAAATAGAAAAGAAAACGCATCGGAGGGGGGTCTTCCCTCTAGAGCTTTTTTTTTTTTT